TCACAGTGGCACAGTGGGTAGCATGATCGCTAGACAGCAAGAATGTTGCTGGTTCAAGCCTCAGCTAGGTCAGTTGGCATTTCTGTGTAGAGTTTGCATGTTCTCCCCATGTTCACATGGGTTTTCTTCCGGGTGCTCCAGTTTCCCCCACCAGTCCAAAGACATGTGGTACAGGTGAATTGGGTAAGTTAAACTGTCCATAGTGTGTGTGTGTGTATGGATGTTTTCCAGTGATGGGTTGCTGTTGGAAGGGCATCCGCTGCATAAAACATATGCTGGATAAGTTGGCGGTTTATTATGTTGTGGCCCCTGATTAAAAAGGGAATGAACCGAAAAAGAAAATGAATGAATGAATTTAGAAAAATCTGTGAATAGCCAGAACTCTAAAAATAAAATGTATACAGTAGTCAGGATTTGAAATGGATCAAAAAAATTAATCAAACCTGTCCTCCGACAAAAAGGGGTGTTGTTCAATTGTATTTTGGAAAACTATGATGAAAGGTGGTCCAGTGACTATAATTACTAACTTCTACAGTCAAGCCCAAAATTGTTCATACCCCAGGGGTATGAATAATTTCGGGCTTGACTACATGTTATCATGCAAATTACACTACAATGTGAGTACATTTTGCAGGCTGTTCTTTATTTATTCATGTATGTATGCATGTTTCTGTGTGTTTTTAAATATATATCATTTTAATTTATTTTATAATTTATAATTAATTTTATTTATAACTCATATAAATATTAAACAGAGAGAGTGTGTCATCATGAGAGAGAGAGAGAGAGAGAGAGAGAGAGAGAGAGAGAGAGAGAGAGAGAGAGAGAGAGAGAGAGAGAGAGAGAGAGAGAGCATGGAGCTGGGTTGTGGCTGGAAAGGCATCTGATGCATAAAACATATGCCAGAGTAGTTGGTGGTTCATTCCGCTGTTGAAACCCCTGATAAATCACAGACTAAACTAAAGGAAAATGAACAAATGAATATTACAGTTGGAGCCGAAAAAAAAGTAGTACATGTACATACATTTAAAAGTAAACACTCAGCCTCCTGTTGTCATTCTGTAGCTGCATCCTCCAATGGATGCAGACTTTAAAGGTGAGTTCTTTAAAGTCCACACAGGCTAAACCGAGCGTTTTGAAATGAGACGATTTAGCCTACAGAGGACAGATCTTGTCACCAGGCAACCGAAACAGCTTAATAAGCGCTAATAAAATTTGTTATGACTTTTTGTCAAAGTGATTTTAAAACTTATTCTAAGCGATCTGAAGGCAAAACAAGGTATACAGAAGCTGGAAATATACTTCCTTTGATCTATACATGTACACATAAAAATGCAAACTGTCTATAAAATGACTCTTTAGTAAGACATGTCATACTTTTTCTTTTTTTTTTTTTTTAACGTGTTTACATTTCACACAAAAATGTCCTGCCATTATCAGCGCGCATGAATCTTGGGACGTTTTAGGCCGCAAAAGATCCACCGGTTGTGCCCTTCATAACCTGGGAAACGAAGAATGCATTTGGAGGCTGCATTTGAAGGAGCCCTTGAATTTTTTTTTTAAAAATGAGACAGCCTTCTTCGTGCTGTGATGACGCAGCACACTTCGAATTCATCCTTCAGAGGATGCAGCCTCTGAAATGAGACACAGCTTGTCACACCAACTTTCCTGCATGGGCAAAATGGAGACCTGAAGTTTGAATCAGATGTAGACATCAAAATACTTAATTCTGATTGAAAAAATGTTCAGAGTGGCCAGTTTTGAGCAATACATCACCGAGTGCAATGCAAAGCATCAGATGCAGTGATGTAAAGCACACTCCCACTGCTTTCTAGAGCACGAAACTTGTTATCTGGAGTCAAAATTCATACTTCTCTGTCAGGCATTCTGATGGTTGATTCTTTTTTTAGGTTATTGTCAGGAGAACAGTACTTTCCTGACTGCATTGTGCCGAATGTAAAGTTTGGTTGATGGGGATTATCGAGTGGGGTTGTTTTCCAGGTCTTGGCCTTGGCCCTTTAGTAACAGTGAAGGTCATTCTTAATGCTTCAGCATACCAAGTAGTTGCGGACAATTCCATACTTACATACTTATGGGAACAGTTTATGAAGGATTCCATCCTGTTCCAACATGACATCAGTACACAAAGTAAACTCCATAACAGTGAGTTTGGTTTGGAGAAACTTGACTGTCCTGACCTCAACCCGACCGAACACCTATGAATTAGAGCAGAGTCTGTCAACCAGTTCTCCCATCCAGCTTCAGTGCTTGACCTCACAAATGTGCTTCTAAAAGAATGGTCAAAATTCCCCTAAAGGCACTCTTAAAGCTTGTTGAAGCAGTTAAGAGTGTATTTTGATGTTTTCTTTCTGTTACACTAATAAGATGCTTTATAAAAAGCCAAAAAAGCACAAAATCTCCAAATTGCATGAAGCATGCAAGATGCATAAAACAGGGCTTTTGCCTGCAATGTCTCGCTGAATTTACTTAGAGTTCAGTTAATCATGCAAAAGGTGTTATGAGATGCAAATAAGATATATATGTTATGGACAGTGTGAAGATGAGCAACTGGTAAGGATACATGAGAGACATGAGAGATTATAGTCAGACACCCAAAGCAAACAAAATGGAGATGTGTCTCCAGCTTGAACCAAAACATATTCAGACTTACATAAACACTGCAAATGAGGATAAGTGTTTCTGTAAGGACATGATATTCTGTGTGAACCCTTTTGGAGTCATGCTCACACATATCTGGTTTTAGTTCAGAAGGTGGATCACACATGGAGAGGTGCAAAGCGCATTTACCCTTGATCTTATTTGCTTTAGAGCAGGGGTCTCAAACTGGCCGTCCGTGGGCCACTTACGCCCCGCCCTCTTCCCTCTTCCTCTCTCCGGCCCGCAACGTCCTAACCTCTCCTTCGTCTCTTACCCCCACATCATTCAGTCTGCAGCCACTTGAATTTTGATGTATGTGCTGGAATTGATTTATTAAATGTGCTTTAAAAGTAGTTTATGCACATTTTGGGCCCTATCATACACGGCGCAGTGTGGAGCAAGGCGCGGCGCAATAGTCTTTTGGTAGTTTCAGCTCGGCACAAGAGTCCTTTTTGAGGCGTTGCTCTACGCTGTTTAAATAGCAAATGCATAGCGCTCATTTTTGCGCCCATAGGCGTTCTGTTCTAAAAAGGAAGGCGTTCTGAGGCGGACCGCTGGCGTGTTGCTATTTTGAGAATCTATAATAGATTTTTAATTAGACCAAAACTAACCCAGTGTAAACTCCGGCGCATAGTTGCGCCTCGCTTACGCACTGCTTAATACGCACAAGAGAGCAATAGGCAAATATCTTTACATATGAAAAAATTTAAATATTAAGGATATATATAGTATATAATAAGAATAGATATAGAATATAAATATAAAGGATTAAATATTACAAAACATATTATTTTCTAGCCTAGATAAATATGAAAAATCACTGCTTTTATGTCTTCTTCATCTCGGGAGGCTTTTTCAGTTCATTCATAACAATTTGCCTTTGTATAATGTTATTATTATTAGCAGTATTATTTACTATATCCATATTTATATTTGTTTTAATCAAAACAAGCTTAGATTTGCCCACCTGTCAGGTTTTAGAGCATATGGGGCACAGCATGTGTTTTAGAATATAACTCAGGCTTTTGAGCACATTTTGATATTATTATTCATTTATTCGTTTGCTGGAAATTAGAAATGAATTTAGAAATAGTTTTGAAACGAATATTTGCGCTTAACAAACAAAAGTATTTATTTATAGACTAATTAATGTCTGCATAAAGGTTTCCCTATCCAAGAGCGAAAGTGAAAGTGATCTATTATCTCTTTATTTATAGACTAATTGATGTCTGTGCGTAAAGGTTTCCCTATCCAAGAGCGAATGTGAAAGTAGTTCCATTATCTCTCATTCTCACGCAGTAGATGCTCTGTTTAACAGTTTTCTGTTAAAAAAACGGTTAACTGTTTGCTAGTGAAATGCTCATTTTTTCCACTTAGACTTACTTTGCGTCCTGTAAATAGCGAATGCGCTCTTGGCGCGACGCAACTGACTCTTAAAGGGAATGGGAGATGAGATTTTAATTGGTCTATTCTCAAAACACATCTATAACTCATTAAGAAAATAAACTCAACCCTTTTAGAACATGCGCCGCGGCGCAAGGCAGATTTCCCGTCCTTAAATTAGCAAAAACGCGTACTGACACGCCCTGAAAGCGTTTGCGCCCTGCGTTTTGCGTTCTGTGCATGGACCGTCCAAATAGAGCCCTTTGTCTTATTAGATAAAAAGTTTATCTTACTCAGTTGTGTACATACAGTATGTTTTATCTGCAAATTGATGCACATCTTGCCATTTCTATTAAACATTTTGTAAGCGATATTTTAAAATGCGCTTAAAAATACGTGGATGGAAACAAAACAATTGTCCTGTAAATGAACCCTTTAAGCAACTCACCTTTATTGTAACACAACACAAAGGTTTAGATACTTTTGAGACTATTAAGACTATCCCACATCATAAAATGATAATATTAGGTTAGATTTAGGTTGTAAAATTGGGTCACCAAAATTAAATGCCTAACCAGCATCTAATGACAATGTTATTTCAATAATGACGTCAAATGACGTTGATATTTGGTTGATTTTAGTTTGAGTTGGAAAATAAGCAAAATAAAAAAAAAATCGAGCCAACATCATAAACCGACGTCGTATTGATGTCAAATGCTGACGTTTATTAGTCAGCAAGTCAACCAAAATCCAATGTTGATTGACGTCATGGTGGCAACGTCCACACAACGTCAAGCTGTAATATCATTAGATGTTGTTATTTGGTTGTTTTTAGGTTGCATTAGTGGGTTATGGGTTCAGACGTCAACAAATTTTCAATTCCACCCAAAATGCAACGTCCCACGACGTCCTGTGCCTGCTGGGTTATTAGAAGCACCAGTAACACTAACAGAAATCTGTTGATCAATAGTAGTGCATCTTTTATTCAATAAATCTACATGAAACTGTATCTGCTTCAACCAAAATGAAGAAAGAACAAACAAAAGCTTTCACAATTTAGTTGTTCCTTTAAAAAGAAGACAATAGTTGTTTACTATTGGCAAACAAAGAGGGGGACTGTTCTGTGAATGTATAGAGTTACAATATTCCTGATAATACAAATGAGAATGAGATGCCTAAAGCTGCCCATATGAATAAAAACATATGGGCAAAATGAAAAATAAAATAATAACAATAAAATTAATTTCTTGTACAGTATATATATATATAGATCTCAGTCTGTTTCAAATATATATATAGCAAAATCCAAATCATTATTTTAGATAAGCAAAATGTGCAAACCACATTTTTTTAATAATAACCTGGACATGTCAATTCATGCCCAAACCCTGCATTCCATTAGACACCACCTGACAAATAAACACATTCCTGAAAATAAAACACAAGTTTCTATATCTCTAAAATGCCTATGCTGTAAATATAACGTCATATACCTCATTGCTGTGCAAGAATCAAATGTGACCAAACAAACCATCCTGGCCCCATTGATATGTGCAATACAAGTTTGAGCAGAACTTATAAACACTAGTACACTATGTAACTTCACGCATACAGTTTGCTTACAGTCTTCAGTGGGACCTACTGGCTTAACGAGGAAGAAAAATGTACAACTTTGTCAGTCTCCATGCAAGAAAATCACAAATATCTCACGTATTTGCACAGGCATGCTTCAGGTCGCTTATTTTCCTTTATTCTTTTGGTGAATATTACGTGCTTAGTCTCTGGTGTGCTTCAGATCGTCTCCTTTGGAACCTTGAAATCCACAGTTAGCCTCCTTCAAACTATGGAAGGTTGAGATCGAGTCTTGTAATGTCCCTCATTCATAAGGCAGAAGACAGCAGTCCAGAATGGTGATGATTTTCATGTGGAAGTGGGCGACTCCATGGGAATCCATCAACCTGATATACAAAACGTGGCTTTGCTACTTGGTTTGTTCATTCGGTTTAAAAGTTTCATTGTTTTGTTGCTTGTATTTAGCAACTGGAAGGATCCCAGCCATCCTGGCTCTTCTTCTTTTTTTTTTTGCTTGGCTAGTAGTCCCGCTGTGAAGTATAAATTGTGACGCCATATTGCAGGCTAAGTGTTGGTCTATAGTTTTCTACAGAGTGCAGCAGGCATGGGATTAGTGCTACAGGACAAAACAGAGAGTGACTGCTGTGCTAGTTTGGTATATAGACAGATAGAGAGATCTGGTTTTAGGACGTTGACGGCTGTTTCAGCTTTACCGTGATCCATTTTCGGGCTATATCACATTTTCAAAGAGCTGCATGGAGTTCATGATGTTTTCATCCTGCAAAGTAGAATGTTTTGCTCATGTTTAGTTCTGCGAAAAACAGCATTTTAAGAACAACCTACATACGTTTAAACTGAATGTGCTTGGTTAATATAATTCACTAATGTGATAAATAATTTTCAAAAGATTCCATTGTTGGTTAAAGGGATAGTTCACCCAAAACTGAAAAATGTAGTCATCATTTATTCACCCTCAAATGATTCTAAACGTTTGTGAGTTTCTTCTGTTGAATTCAGAAGATGAATTTTGTTCCTTACTGGTAGCCATTGAGATTCATAATAGAACAAAAAATATACTATGGAAGTCAATGGCTACAGTTTTCCAACATACTTCAAAGTTATTTACTGTGTTCAACTGAAGTAAGAAACAAAGTAAGTGGCCATTTACATATCGCATCTAAAATTGTGTGGAAAATGCAAGGCACCGCTTCTTTCATCCTTTTTAAAGTTCATCCTAACTTGTGCCAAAGACTAAAGAATACATGAGATGTGTCACTCGTATAGTTTTGAATGGAGAAAAGTATAATGGTCAATATGGTGAATAAGCCCTGCCTACAAGTACAGGAGTCAACCAGCGATTGCTATGGATTGATTAATCCTTGGGGGAGAAACTCGGATCAGGGGTCAGTTCTTCGTACCTCGCTTAAATGATCTAAGATGATTTGGCAAATTCTGGATCTTTTAATCTTGATAACTGATCTCTGGTTAATTTGGTTCTTCAAACAAGTTCTAGAATCAGATTAAAATGTCTGGATAAACTGATCTGAGATCGCTGTGTGTTGTGATGGACAGATCTATCGATCCTCGAAATCATGATCAGCAATGCAATGATTGGCTGATAGCTCAGCAGCATAATGACATCATCTGATTAATATTCGATTACGCATGTGAGCGACATTACATAAAATTCATAGTAAACGGTTTGTTAAATATGACACGCCATAACTTTCCACGTTTGTTGTGCGCTGCAGGCTTCACACTTTCATGTGTCAAGATTATTTAGCAATTTATTTAGTTTTACAGTTAGAGCAGATTTTATTTAATACAGTAGCCATAGTAGTATTATAGTAGCCGGTTTCTTAATCAGTGTAAAGAATAACTAGATGTTTAAATAGATTTTGCATCGCAAAAGCATTTTGATATTGGTAAAGGTGTCTGCAACTTTTGCGAAGCATCAGATCACCAGCATATTAGTCGTCAAAACATTTGCATGACTGCATAAATTATTATTCCCTGTAAATAAAAGTCACATATTGTGCATGTATTATCATACAAAAATTGTACTAAAGAGATTGTACGCATTTGTATCTAAAAAGTTCATGTCAATAAAATTTCTCTTTAAACCACCAGGTAGCAGTCTTTGTACTTTTATTTCGGAGTGCAGATTGCATAAGTTTTATTAATATAAATATATTTTTAACAAGTGTATAACTATTAATGTAATAAAATATCATAATTTGGTACATTCTTTCAGTATAATCTTTGCTTGACCAGAGCTGATCTAATTCTGTTTATATGAAATGAACCTGCTCCCTAGAAGGTTTGAGCTACCAGAACAGAGCTATGACAACAACTCTCAGATGAGTTTTGAAGATCAACACAATCCTAGATCATGTCAAATCTTCAATAATCAAATTCAGCTAATTGAGTAATCCACGTATGAAGAACGGATTCCCAATGTGTATTTTTACGACAGTTTGTTGGTCAACAAGCACACTGGCATCTCAGCGAATACTTGCTTCACAGACATGAGAAATATATCCAAATAAAGCTGGAAATCTGTACTTTTAAATGAAAAGCAAGTGCGCTTGAAAACAAAAGGTTTTGGATTTTGTAATCGTATAAAACGAATGCGAGGTACAGTCCGTCCTGTCAAACACATGTCCATTGACAGCAATTACCCAAACTGCCACAAATATGTAAACAGAGTCGCTGTCATTTCTGGAGGAGATTCACCATCAAGACCAAGTTGTGGATTACTTTAGTAGACCAGCGTGATCAGGTGAAGCATTATTCAGAGGATGATCATGTGTAAGACGACCATAAATGAGATTGGTATCATGATCGCTTGCCTTTCGAGTGCGCATTAGCTCGGGAAACCTGAAAACATGCCGATTTTGTTTAATTCAAACGTTAAGAAACGAAACATATGAGACGGTTGCTGTTCACGTTTATTGGTGATTCCAAATCTGTGTCGTAATGACAAGCTTGCAAAACAGTTTTGAAGAATTTGATGTTTCCCCATTTAGACAGAATGCCTGATCATACTACCCCAGAGATTATATACGTGGCCTTCTAGAAGTGCGATATGCACATTAATACAGCTGCATTTTTTCTGACACTGTATAACAATAATTACTTTTAATAATATACTTTTAATATTTTTAATAATAACTTTTTACAGTACTGTGAAGGTACGGTTTAGAGTTGGGGTGAGGGTAGGGGTTAAAACAATGCAATTTATTGGGTAATTTAATCGATAACATACATAATACTCGGTACAAATACTGTTTTACGTCACTGTGATGGTTGGGTTTAGGGTTGGGGTAGGCGTAAATATATACAATAAATGGGAAATTTAAAAAATAATATAAATAATTATTATTAACTTCCATCTGCAACCATATCCGATCTAGCAACAACTGGCCGTTGTTGCTAGGTAACCACCAGCTGCTCATTTTGAGGAACCAACTCAGACAAACTCTAGCTGTGTCTAACAGTGTTGGGTGCTCTGCCTTTCCCTGAGGTAACTAGTCTACTGTTATTACCGAAATATGTGTAATCCATACATAGTGAAACTAATAGGTTGGTTCTTATGTGACAGCATTCTGAAAATTTGAGATGATTTCAAGTCACAGATGTGCCTGGAAAATGCAAGCATGTCACACCTTATTTGCATACCATAGGTCTCCATAATGAACTTCTGTGCACAAAAGATATGAGGTGAACAGCCTTAAATGATGACATAATTGCTTTTTTTTTGGTGAACTACGCCTTTAAACGAATGGCCAAATGTGTAAAAAGCATAATAATGAAAGATATGAGAACTGTTTTCATTCATTCATTCATTCATTTTTCCTTCGGCTTACTCTCTATTTCTGGGGTCTCCAGTGGACTGAACCACCAACTATTTTAGCATATGTTTTATGCAGCAGATGCCCTTCCAGCTGCAACCCAGTACTGGGAAAGAGACTGGTTTATAGGTTAAAAACCTTTTAAAATTGAATAGAATATTCTGAACTGCAAATTATATAAAAATGCATTCATTTATCAATACAGAAATGAGTGTTATCCTGGTTTATGTTTATGTCTTATGTTTATGTCTTCTCAATGATGATACTAATTTCTGTACAAGTACACTAAAGAAGAGAATGTTGTTTGCTGGTTTTACAGCTGCAAAGAAGACAATCATACAAAATTGGTTTACTCCAAACACGTGTGCAAATTTTTTTTTGGATTCATAGCCTCCTTAAAATAGTGACTTGTGAAGCTACAATAGCACGAACTAATAAAGCTACACCTAGTACCTACCATTGATGCATGGCAATGCTTTTCTTCCAGCATTTTGGACTATCTAAAGCAGGGGTCTCAAACTCAATTTACCTGGGGGCCGCAGGAGGCAAAGTCTGGGTGAAGCTGGGCCGCATAAGGGATTTCACAAAAAAAAGTCCTCAAATGTCATTATTAACAGTTTTAATTATTTCTTATGAACATGAAGTGTCCTGAACATTAATAGAACATTGAGTGAAGATTATGAACAGTTCTTCTGAACATGGCATCTTTTGCCTACTTCTTGCTGCCCGAGACTTGACAGCGCTTCTTCTCACAAATCTGAACCACATTTGGCTTTAGAGCGGAAGCAGTTGAGACCCTCAGTATGGCTTGAAGATGATCATCATTAAGTCTAGACCTGTACTTTGACTTATTGAAGTCCTAGGGGAAAAAGTGGGGGAACTCACTCAAAACTTCCATTCCCTCACCTAAAAAAAAGGCGTATATATGTATAAATAAAACACCCCCACCCCACTCCAGTCACATCAGTCTGTACCAGTCTGTATCTACCTATAATATTAACACAATCTCAGGCACGTGCACACATAGGGCTCAACCTGTGCAGAGCACATGCCCTTTTTAGTCTTGCATAGAAAGTGCCCTTCCAAAATGATCAAAAGTGCCCCCGCGACGCGACACACCCTCGGTCCCGCCCTTCAGTAGGCGCGCGATAACACCGCTCTTAAGTACGCGCGCGACAACACAGCTGATCAGAACGCGCGCGACAACGCGCATTGAGTGACAAGCGCGCTGTGTACGGATAGAATCAGCGGAGCGGGGAGCGGGGATACTGATGTAGCTCTGACGTTTATGCAGAAAATTAAAAAGTACCACAGTGTTGGGTGCTCTGCCTTTCCCTGAGGTAACTAGTCTACTGTTATTACTGAAATATGTGTAATCCATACATAGTGAAACTAATAGGTTGGTTCTTATGTGACAGCATTCTGAAAATTTGAGAAAATCTCTCCCCGCTCCGCTGATTCTGTCAGTGTACAGCGGTCGGTGCGGGCCACAAAATATTGCACTGAGGGCCGCAAATGGCCCGCGTGCCGCGAGTTTGAGACCCCTGATCTAAAGCAATGACCATGTAAAGTTTATTATTTTTTTTCTCAATGTAAATCTTTGTCACACCTGTTGCAGTGCCCTAGTTTAGACACTTGAGGGGACTAGTTTGTTTTGTAGTTTCACTTAATTTCCCATAATCCTTTGTATTACTACTGTTTGTGTTATGTTACAGCTGTTTCATGCTTGTTAATTTAGTCCTGTCTTTATAAACCCTCTTGTTCTCTGTTTTAGTTGCCTTAGGATTTTGTTAGTTCCTCACGTCTGGTATGTTTGTCTGGTTATCTAGTATTTTGTATTACGATTATCCTTGGATTCCTGGTTGTGTTTGTTTTTGTTAGCACTTGTTAGCACTCCTACCCTGTCCTTGTATTTACCCGTTTTTGGATTTTTGGCAGTTCCTTCGTCTGGTCATCTAGTTTTTGTATCTTGCTTATAGTTCTGTGCAAGATTTGGAAACCTTTGTCTCTTGGAAATCTCTGTCTTTTTGGATACCTTTGTCTTTTTGTTAATAAATTGCTGCACTTGGATTTTTGCGTTTTGTGTGATTCTCCCCCATTCGTGACACTTTCAGATTGAAAATTGTTGATGCGTCTGTTTCTCCCCCTCCCCTGTTTGGTTGTTTGAATGTCTTTTTGTTAAGTTAATCTAAAATCAATAAAACGTTGATCACAAAAAAAAAAAAAAAAAAGAAATGAGTGTTGTTACTAATTGTACATGTAAACATTGCACTGAACATTTTACAGAAGTATGGTTTTCAGGGTTCATACACATTTTTACTAAAAAACAGTTTCCGGGATTTTCAAGTCGATAAATGACTACATATACCTGGTAATTAATAAGAAAAATAATTCCCGGTAAATTTATTACAGCATTTTGGCGCCAGTGGTGTAGTGGTTAGTGTGTCGACACATGCACTCCGGTATTCACAGCGACCCGAGTTCGATTCTGCCTGACGGTCCTATGCCGATCCTTACCCTCTCTTTGCTCCCCATGCTTTTCTGCCAATTCTCTCTACTGTCCTGTCTAATAAAGGTGAAAACCCAGAAAAAAATAACTATAAAAAAATATTACAGCATATTATAAAACACGCAACAATCTCTTTAGTTTCAATGTATTTTTATATACGTAAAATAGATAATGCTTACACAGCACTAATGATGTGAGACAATGTTTTTGGCCAATAAAAGAAGTAAAAACACATAGTCTCCACTCTAGTATACAGATATTTGTCAAACTAATTTTAGATAAGGTTAATAGTTGGTTAAACTAGTAATAGTATGTAAAACTATACTTCTATTGTAAAGCCACGGTCACACTGCACTTTTCGCTCTTTTGACTTCCATTCATAGGCATGCGAATAAGGCAGACCAGAAACGCAAGCTCGTGCGACAAGTTTTGCATTTCACTGCATTCAAAAGTTCGAGCTTGGTGAGTTCTTACCTGTGAAATCACATCAGTTAGACCAATGAAAGATAACTTAAAATAAGAAATTGAAAATATGGAGCAATCGCTCACTTTTATTAATGTCTAATCATATTGTTTAACCCTGCTCCATTTCGCAGCACCGTACAGCAAAATTTCACAAGCACAAGTTCTAGTGTGACCGCAGCTTAAGTTGCTTTGGACAAAAATGTCTGCTAAATGACTAAATGTAAATGTAATTTCCATGACTTTTTCAAACCTTTTCCAGGCCTGGAAATGCCATGTCAAAATTCCATGACTTTTTTCAGGTTTTCCGTATGATCCCTGGGTTTTATTTGTTAATGTAATTAGGGGGTGTAAGGTAGAACGGGGGATGATTTCACAAACATTTTACACCAAAAACAGACTTACTTTCTGACAGGTCTCAATAAACTCTTCAATAGTGACCACACCGTCTCGATTTCTGTCCATTTTCTATAGAAAAAAAAACAAAGTGAAGAAGCACCTGATGCTTTAGTACGGGTATTCTGAGTGTCTGTGTCAGCATTAAAACATGCTTGTTTTTGGTACCTGAAAGAACTTTTCCACATGTTCAGATGGAGCTTCGTCTCGCACACTGGGGTATGTGTACCTTCCCATCATGTCGTAGATTGACTTCATAATTAACAGCATCTCCTACTCACATACAGACACACGTCATGTACTGTATTACTGTTTGTATAACTTTCTGACATTACTTTCTTAAAAAGCACCTCTTTAGTGATGTATCCATCCTTGTTGATGTCGTAAAGGTTGAAAGCCCAGTTGAGCTTTTCAGTGACTGTTCCTCTCAGCAACACGGACAGACCAATCACAAAATCCTGCAATAGAGAACCAAATGATTGCGATAAAGAATATTTGTGTAAGGTGTTACAATAAAGGTGTATTAATGCATCAATTCATACTAAACTAAGGCACAGTTAATGTTAAAGTATGACTCATGAAGAACTAAACCATCCATTATTATTAAAAGCCATCTGATTAAACAACCACCAGAGTTCCCACTCTAAGCCAAATGTCAAATTTCCTGTCTTTCTCCTAACTTTCATTGACTGAAAAGCTGAATTCCTATGACAATCAATAAAAACAGTAAGCTGTTATGTCAAACAGTCCTCTCCAGAATTTTCAGATACTGGGATGGCAGACTATAATGCAAAATAGCAAATAGCTCAAAGGGAGCTTTCAATTTTTTTTTAATTGCCACAGACTTCATATTGATTTTAGCCAGCCAGGACACTGTTCAAATTCCTTCCATGCAATCTTCATTGTTATATATCAAATAACATTATATTTGCATATATAAAGTGCTGATCTGTGCCCCACGCAGGTTTTTTCATTTATTTACACTATGAACAGCAGCTATGCTAACTATTCTCTTTATTCTCTATTTCCACCTGGGGATACTCATCCCGGGGCCCTCCTATTATGCAGCGCCACTGATTCGATCCAAGACCAGCGACAAGATAATCCCAAGGTTTCTATAATCCTGGACCAGGCCGTATCCTGAGCAGCTGCTGTGGTGGTCATGGAGGAGTGGAGAGCATGTGACTGATTCCTGTGACACTGTCTGCGGACATTGTGGGTCCTAACGCCCTAGTATAGTGAAGGGGAGTCTATACTACTCAGTTAGCGCCATCTTTCATGTGAGACGTAAACTGAGGTCTTGACTCTTTGTGGGCATTAAAAACCCCAGGATGTCCTTCGAAAAAAGTAGGGGTTTAACCTCGGCATCCTGGCCAAATTTGCCCACTGGTATGGTATGGATGGGTTACCCCATATCGTAATTAGCTTCATGACCGCTGGTGTCAGCTGGTCTTCTCTAGAGTGTGGTGTGGTGTGCGGTCTGGTGCAATGTGGCTGCCGTCGCGTCATCCAGGTGGATGTGGAGATTCCCCCCAATGTGTAAAGCGATTTAAGTGTTCAAAAAAATGCTATATAAATGTAAGGAATTATTATTATTGAATATATAAACAGGTACAGCCCGGTGGCTACATGGAAAGGAATAAAATAGCATTGAAAAATAGCCCGACCATATCAACAGCGACAAAACATGATAACAACAACAAAAACACTGTGTATAAAGATAGATTTGAATACATTTAAAATGACAAACAAATTCCTTTGTATTGCCTGATATGTCAAAAGTCATAATGACACAAGCAGTCAACTAGAAATGTTTAGTATATACATAAGTATATTTAATATATGCGCATTGATTAAACATACAGATATAACGAATAAAGGAAATTCCCACCTCAAAACGGATCGAGCCATTTCTGTCAAGATCAAATGCGTTAAACAGAAAATGGGCGTATGTGGTGGCATCTGAGAAAATGTAAAATAAAAACAGAAATCAACAGTGACATTATCAATAGTGACAACACATTAGTGAAAATATAAATGTATTTACCGCCTTGGGGAAAGAATTGGGAGTAGATGGTCTTGAAAGTTTCCTCATCAACCAAACCACTTGGGCACTCCTTAAATGGAAAAAGAGGCACATCTAATTAAACATTTAATTAAACAGCTAATGGACCAACTCTCACAGTGCCAGCTCGCAGAGGCTTTAAATAAGTGCATTGTGCTAATTTGCTGCCCTATATAGTACAAACAGAAAGAACAACATTTTAAACCCACAAAGCTTTTTTTTTTTTTTTAAGACATGAACTGTGACATTTGTCATAATGATTAAAATACTATTGGTTCCCTTGTTTATGCTATGGATGTAATTGATAACCCAAATCCTGCTGATTGCTGAGTACAAATGTGCTACTACTTTTTAAAGAAGGTACTCACATCTTTTCTTGGGACCATGATGTGAAAAACACGTTTGACTTGATGAACTAGAAAGAAAACACCCAGCCACAAACCACCTAGCAACAAACCAATAAACACCCAGAATTTGCTTCGAGAAAACCAACAGGCAACGCCCTAGATCTGAGTGGTATTCGAACCAACATTTTTATATAAATGGAGACACTATCGAGATGGTGAAGACTATAGTCCAGGGATGTCGAACTCAATTACTGCAGGGCCGCAGCATGGCACAGTTTAGTTCCAACCCTGCTCCAACAAACTTACCTGTAGGTTTCAAACAAGCCTGAAGGACTCAATTAGTTTGATCTGGTGTGTTTAATTAGTGTTGGAACTAAACTGTGCAGGGCTGCGCCCCTCCAGGAATTGAGTTTGACATTCCTGCCATAGTCTCTAGCATTGGTTGCTAGTGCACCTATGATGAACTTTTACTACTTGGCTTTTGTTATTCTCACATCAACAGTGAAACAACGTGATAAAAGCAAACAGCAACAACAACAAAACACGGTATATAAAATACATTTTGTTTTAATTTGATAACTTTGTTGAAATAAAACCCATTTAATACCCTGGCTATTCTTAAATCTATAGAATAAATCTATAAATCTATATACAGAAATTTGTATATTTCTACATTGTTATTTTATAAAAGTTACAAAACGCAAAAGAAAAGACCTTTGAGTATATCTACCTTAAATTATCATAACGGTTAAAATTACTGCATGCATTTCAGTATCTACTACTTGTTTACTTCCATATTATTTACTGTAGTATGTTAAAACAGTATGTGAGCCAAGTAGAGATGTTCATATGCTGCGTCATAATTGGCATACCATCTGTCCTCTGTCCTATTTGAATGCAGAATTAATGTCCAAAACCAACCTGATCTCACAAGGAAACGTAAGTATTTTATGATTTGTCAATTTAGTTAATTCAAGTTCAGCCATACAAAAATGTAAGACTTTAAAAAGGAAGCGTGCCATCTACAGTAAACCCAACCATCATTGGGGGATGAGCAAATCATACTAAATTGTACAATTGAATTCATAGGAATTAGCCATAAATCAATGTTGAAAAGAGAATACCAGAGGTTCCCGGATGGTCTACCATTACTATTACTACAAGTACTATTACTACTATTTGCTACAAACTTAGCGAAAATTTTTTAAACAAACTACAAACATGACGGATGCATAAGACCAACCATCAAGAAGAAAGGCTGCGGTAAACTTGTGTCCTATATTAATTAATATTTACTGTAAATAATGTCTTAAATCACATTTTCCGTGTTATATTTCATCTGCAACAACTATGAGAACCTTTATAAAGCCAAGTTTAGACATTAAGTTCTGAATGCACAAACACCTGACAAGATTCCTCTGCATGAAACACTTGAGAATGTTAGATTAATCTGCCGCTCCTTCTCCAATAAATATAAAAGAAATGCGGATAATGTGTCGAGATAATTGACAGGGGATATAACTAAGCAACATAACGGTCCATTAATGATTAAGTAGTATGTCTCAAAGTTTGCATACTCCTATGTTACACTCTCAAATGTACAGTTGAAGTCATGGTTATTAGCCCCCCTGAATTATTAGCCCTCCTGTATATTTTCTCCAACTTCTGTTTAACAGAGAGAAGATTTTTTTCAACACATTTCTAAACATAATGGTTTTAATAACTCATTTCTAATAACTGATTTAGTTTTCTTTGCCATGATGACAGTAAATAATATTTTACTAGATTTAAAAAAAAATACTATTCAGCTTAAAGTGCAATTTAAAGGCTTAACTAGGTTAATTAGGTTAATAAGGCAAGTTACTGTAGGGGAATTAAGCAAGTCATTTTATAAAAGTGGTTTGTTCTGTAGACTATCGACAGAAATACTGCTTTAGAGTGCTAATAATATTGACCTCAAAAAGGTTTTTAAAAAAAATTAAAATGCTTTTTTTTTCTATAGCTGAAATAAAACAAATAAATAAAACAAAAATTCCTGAATCTGTTAAACACAATTTGAGATTCTAATATTTCCACACTAATTATTACTATGGGAGGAATAATTCTTCACAAAAAAGTACATGATTTTAAAACATAGTATAAGTATGCAAATTGGAAAGCAACAATAGTATTCGAAAAACAGTAGGTGAGAAGTATGCGGATGACCAGCCTGATCTCATCAGAAAACGTAAGTATTTTTAGCTTTGTCAGTTGAGTGGCTAATTCGTATTCGTAATTCGTATTCGTAAATGTACGATTTTAAAAAGGAGGCGTAGCACTCAACCCCACCCCTAACCCCAACCGTCATTGGGTGATGAGCAAATCGTACTAAAAGGTACGAATTAGATCATACAAATTCATACGAATTAGCCATTAAATAAAAAAGTTACGAATTGCCGTGAGATTGCATTGGGATGACCTACCACTTCCGACAAGATTCTGAAGTGCGTATCAAATGGACGCTATGCTATTCCATGATGCCACACAAGAAAACTCATGAATGGGAGTGAAGCGACACAACTGACGCAGTTAGGCCACGTGATAATGACAAATGGTAGTACTTTCGAGTTCCATTTATACTATATGTTTGCCTCTGTTGCCTAGCAACTTCCTGCCAGCAAAAACATCACTTTACTTCAGACATGTCTTTTTAAACAACATTTTCACTGCAGTGAAAAAACTTTCCTTTCCCACTTGCTGGAAAAAATGATGTGCGCACATTTGGTCTAGTGCATCGCATAGTACAATTTAAAGCTATATAACACCTTATTTTTAGAGTAATGACCTCATAAAATATGACAACAGACATTCAAAACTTAATTCTTAAATCTCAAAAGAAGCTCCAAATGTAAATATGATGTGATTAAAGTTCAGTTCTCTGCAGTTTTTTATTTTTTAATTTTTTTTTTATGAACGGTCAAAATGAGTGCTATTCCCAAATACTCACATTTTTAAAGCCCCTATATAGGGACTGCAGCTCCTTCTTGGTGAATTTGGTCTGTGCCTGCAACTGCTCCAGACCCTCGGGCTGATGCCGCACCGTGGACAGCTCAAGGTCACTGTCACTGCTGTCTATGAGAGAGAAAGAGCAAAACAGAGAGAGAGAGAGAGAGAGAGAGAGAGAGAGAGAGAGAGAGAGAGAGGAGGAAGCAGAGAGAAATACAGGGAAGGGGTCGGGATGGGGCAAGTGTATGGGATGCAGGACGGGATGGGGCGAGAGTGCATTTTAAAGAGGAGAACAGTGGATGCAAGGAGAGCGAGAGAGGAGAAAGAGGAGTGAAAGCAAAAGAGTTAGCATAAAAGTCAAAGACAAGGAGGAAGAGGAGTAGAGATATGGAGAATTGATAGACAGGGCGATCCTTTCTTTTTCAATGTGATTGACTGTTAGTGGCAATTACTTTTACTACTAAATGTTATTATTTCATATGACTACATTAAAGTTAAGCTATATTTGCTGATATTTAGAGTTTAGCTAGCATAGTCTTCAATCACATCATGAAGAAAGCACTCCATGAAAAGAAAAGGAGATTCTGTACACCAAATAACATAAACAGGAGAGATTAAAATATAGGTGCTTGCTTACACTCACCGTCTTCACACAAATAGACAAAAGGTGAGATAGGGAGAAACAAGAAGGACAGAAAGAGTCAGAGCGAGAGAGCGAGAGGAGAAAAAAAAAGAGAAAAACAGTCAAGTCAAAACAGGCACTAAAGTAAAACACAATTTAGACAGGAAAAGCATGGTGGAAGAGAAAGCATGTTTTTTTAAGATAATAATTCTTTGATGAAAATACAGGGCCCTATCATACACCCGGCGCAATGTGGTGCAAGGCGCGACACAATTGTTATTTGCTACTTTCAGCTTGGCGCATGAGTCGTCTTGAGGTGTTGCGCCATGCTGTTTAAATAGCAAATGCATTTGCGCTCATATGTGCACCCATAGGCGTTCTGGTCTAAAAAAGCAGCCGTGTTTTGGTCCGTTGCTATTTTATAAAAGCTTTATATTTTTAATAAGCTTAGATTTGTCCACCTGTCAGGTTTTAGACCATATTGGGCACAGCATGTGTATTAGGAAATAACTCAGTATTTTGACCTCACTTCATTATTATTGTTCGTTTATTCATTTGCTGGATATTAGAACTGAATTTAGAAATAGTTTTGAAACTAATCTTAGCGCTTAACAAACAAAATTAACTATTTATAGGCTAACTGATGTCTCTGTGTACAAGGTTTCCCTATCCACAAGAGCGAATGTGAAAGATTATGAGAGGCCTTATCTCTCATTCTCGCGCGGTAGATGCTCTGTTTGACTGTTTTCTTGCTAGTGAAATGCTCAGTTTTTCCACCTACACTTACTTTACGTCATATAAATAGCGAATGCGCTTATGGTGCGACGCAACTGGCTCCTAAAGGGAATGGGAGATGAAACTCTGATTGGTTTATTCTCAAAACACACCTATAACTCATCAAGAAAATAAACTCAACCCTTTTAGACCATGCGCCGAGGCGCAAAGCGGATTTTTTTGTCCTTATATTAGCAAAAATAGATTCTGACATGCCCTGAAAGCATTTGCGCCCAGCGGATGGATCGTCAAAATAGAGCCAATAATCTGTGTTGTTATGGTTAACTAAAACTATTCTTTATGTTATTTGCAATAATTTTGCCATTGCATTAGCTGAAATAAAATAAGTTGAAGAATAAAATTCTAAAAAAACAAAGCTGAAAAAAATATGTTCAAGCTGAATAGAAATATATTTTATATATGAAACCAAAAATGCTAAAAGCATATTACAATCTAAATATAAATATTAAAATCACATAAAATATGAATAATAGTATGTCAATAATTCTAAAATAGCACTGCAACTAATTCTGTGAATTTGAATTTGAATTTCAATATCCTCGAAAAGGAAAGATTCGTTGTTTCGGAAGCTCCCCGAGATGAAGGCATGGAGGCAGTGGTTTTTATATTTATGTAGAAAATGATAATTTTTGTAATATTTTATTTCTTTAATTCTTTTTCATTTATAAAGATATTTGCGTATTGCTGTACATCCTGTTTCATTTTAAGCAATGTGTAAGCAAAGCCATAACTAATGCGCTCTGTACTGGACTTTAGACTTGCTTTCAGCTGGTCAATTGCTCAGTCTATTTCAGTTTCTCAAAATAGCAAAGCGCCAACAATGCACCTTAACACGCCTCTTTTCTAGACCAGAACACCCATGAGTCCACAAAGTGGCGCAAATGGATTTGCTATTTAAATATCGTGGCACAAAACAGGAAAATTAGGGTTGCACTGGTTTGAAAATAGCAACTCATCGCAGCAATCACGTCTTGCGCCCTATTGCGCCGAGTCTATGATAGGGCCCTTAGTGTGTACAAAATTGATCTGCAAAAAAAAACACCTCTTGTAATTTCTGCATGTGATTAATTCTGTTGTAAGAGTACTCCATAGACCTGTGGCTTTATAAAAAAAAAATATAGGATTGACCAAATGAGGTTTTGTGTCTAAGGACAATACCCCCCCTCTTACTTTGGAGCGTGTCGTGCGAGATATTTTCTCTGATGTAAGAGTTAAAAAATTTATTAACAAAGGAGCAGAAAGATTATGAATAATTGTATAAACAAAACAACTATGTGCAGAAAACTTCTGAGAAATTTAAAAAATCCAAGTTATACAAGTTTCAAAACTAACCAAATAAACAAATAACATACACAAAAACAAATCAATATTTTAGTGTCCTTAATAGAAGGTCAATTTAATTAAGAAACAAAAATGTCTTGTTTTGTACAGAACTGTGGATGAAAAATGTTACTAATTCTAAATAAATACAGTGAATGCTATATGCAATTTACTTAAAATATTAAATTTTAGGAGGATTATTTTTATATTTGAAAAATATCACAGATGCTGTCAACAGAGTTTGCATTTAACCAAAAACATGAATATGCAAATATAAAACATACATAAAAAAAAAGATTTTTTTTTTCATCCAATCCCTGACCTGACGTTTGCTAGTTCCTCTCAGCCTCACCTGTCTCAGTAATGTCTATGAGTCCCAGCAGATGCATGAGTTTGAGAAACATGAAGACCAGGCAGACGATACCCACCGTCTGTAGACCCTCTGTCTCCCACCTCACACTCATCCTGACACTCTGACCCTAAAAACCCTTCCACAAACTCCTACTTCCAGCTCAGTCCTGAGTTAATAAGTTAAATCCACAATCTTCGTTAAACAAAACATAAGCATCCAGCAAATCCGATAATGTAACCATGTCCTGTTTCTGTTTATCTTTTCAGAAAAGGCTGGAGAACAAAAAAAGGGTCATCTTGTATTGTGTCCGGATTGGCTTTTGGCGTCCAGATGTATGCTGATAACTCTCCTCTCTCATTATTTCTTCGCCTCTATTCTTCTCACTTCTATTTAAAAGTTCACTCTGACACAATTTTCTAAGGGAATTGAGAAAAGTCCCACTCAGGAGACCAGTTCGACCCAATTAGATTTAGACACAACCCTAACATGAATCTCGAACTTTGACATGTTGGATAATAACATGAAGACATCAGGATCAAAAAGTGGACACCTTGATTGAAAAAGCACATTTTTTGGTACACAAATCTTGGAATGAAGATCAGGAATGTTGTTAATGTGAAAGCTTGCTGATGAGAAGTAAAATGCTTTTTGTTTTGATTGATCTGGACGTTTAACATTCAAAGCTGTTGGAATAGATACACGCTTTCATATGGTGTCCTAAATTCATGCTTCCCTTGCCTTGTGAACCAGTTTCCAATATCTAATTGTTCTCTCTCTATTTAAGTCTTTGTGATATGACAGTAGCTATGTTTCCATTCACATATTTGTATGCAAAAAACTGAGTAGGATATCCGATAAAAAAGTGCATAAAATATGATGGAAACACATTTTTCAAAATAAATTACAGCATGCTCATTAAAAAGCTATCTGCTTTTGTCCAAAATGAGAGTGATGGAGTGGGATTACTGGATAAACAGAGCACATTGTACAACATCTGAACTGTTATTTTGGTCATTCTAAAATCCCTTAGCCGAAGTCTGTCATCAAAGTGGTTCAGTAATAATACCTCCTCAACTATCTTGAAGAAGAACAGTTTGAACCTGACTGTATCAAGTGGTAATTTTAATGATAAACTTATTTTTAATCAAAACGAATTAGCATTGTGTGCAAAAAAAAAAAAAAAAAACTACTAAAAACTACTTAAGATCACTTGATAGCATGTATATAAATTTGATTTATAATAATTTAAATAATTTTAAGTTTTATGATTATTATATTAATAAATTGTTCACACGTAACAATTTTTGTAAATTACAGTATTTAGCTGTAATATAAACTGTATTTAACTGTAAGACAATTATGAAGTATGTTACTGTATTTCAAAGTTGCAATGTGAAAATGACTGTGTGTTTTACAGTAAAGCTACAGTAAGTTAAATGGTGCTGCAAATGTAACTACAGTATTTTGCTGCAATTGATTTACAGTAATTTACTGATAAACTGTTACTGTAGATTAGGTTAACAGTGTACTATTTGGCTAGGTTTGTTAAACAGTTCATATTTAGAGAGGCAGTATTCTTTTTGAACACACTTTACAGTTCTGTGATACTTAAAATCTAATTTTTATTCTAGCCAAAATAAAACAAATAAGACTTTCACCAGAAGAAAAAATATTATGAGACATACTGTGAAAATTTCCATGCTCTGTTAAGCATCATTTGGGGAATATTTAAAAAAAAAAAATTCAGATGGGGGCTAATATTTCTGACTTCAACTGTATATCAACATGGAGAGTTTCTAAAGGTCAAATATAATCGTGAAATACTGTTCTAAAATATTTCTGTAATAATCATGTACATTTTTTTGACTTGCAAATATTCTAAGTAAACGTGACTGATTTGAAACCATCTTTTATGAATATTAAATGTGGAAACTATGAAGAGAGTGGGTCAAAACAGGATTTTTTCGATTAATAATCTGCTTAAGAATTTTGTTCACAAATGTAGGTTTCTTAACACTATCCTTTTTTGTTGTCTAACAAATAACTGAGACGTGCCATGGTGGCTCAGTGGTTAGCACTGTCGCCTCACAGCAAGAAGGTCGCTGGTTCAAGTCACCACTGGGTCAGTTGGCATTTCTGTGTGGAGTTTGCATGTTCTCCCTGTGTTCGCGTTGGTTTCCTCCAGGTGCTCCGCTTTCCCCACAGTTCAAAGACATGAGCTATAGGTGAATTGAATAAAACTAAATTGGCTGTAGCGTGTGTATGTGTATGTGTATGGGTGTTTCCCAGTACTGGGTTCCGACTGGAAAGGCATCGGCTGTGTAAAACATATACTGGAATAGTTGGTTCACTCCACTATGGCGACCTCTGAAATAGAAACTAAGCCAAAGAAAAATGCATTAATATTGAATGAAATATCTGAGACAATTTTTAAAAACCAGGTAATTTTTTTTTTTTTAATGTACTTTAAAAATATGTGGAATATAATTACTATATTTTTTAAAATAATAATTTTTTTTCAATTTACACTCATTAAAATTTATAGTTTTTAAGATCT